CCATTTTTAGTTAAAACCATCATAGTCAGATAGATGTAAGCTTAAATTTTGGTTCCATCACCTACAATCTCCACGATCTTTAACTGGTTATTTAACCTTCCCAAACCTAGTTTCCTCATCTGTGAAATAACATCTGTTCATAGGATTGTGGTGAGGATTAAATAAAAAAACAACAACATATCTAAAGGTTTTAACACTGTCTCTGGCCCATTATGAATACCAAGTAAATTATTATTATCACTGCTACTTTTTTAAAAAATATGTTTTTATTGAATTTTTTTAGAGAGAAATGGAAACACCAATTGATTGGTGCCTCCTGCACACCTCCTTCTGGGGATCAAGCCTGCAACCCGGGCTTGTGCCCTGACCGGAATGGAACCGGGACCTCTCAGTCCATGAGACATCACTCAGTCCACTGAGCCACACTGGGCAGACAATTATTGCTACATTTTAATAAATTGTGTATGTTTTTACTCCTAGCTTACCAAATCACATAAAATATGCCTCTCTGTCTCTTTATCTCCTCTCACCAGAAGCACATTTAAGATCACCACTTTTTGCTTCCCTGGGATGATATAAGGATTAATTAATTCATGGTGGACTGAATTATTCTTGTATGTATAGTACTGGAAGTTCTACTTTTTTTTTTTTTTTTTTAAGAAATGATCACCAACTCTACTTTTGTGGCAAGACAAATCATCTCATAGTCTTAAAAGAATATATCACAAACTTTACTGAAATAGTTTTAAAACAAAATTAATTTTATGCACTTTAACAAATGAATTCATGCCCTGGCTGGTTTGGCTCAGCAGTAGAGCGTCAGTCTGCAGACCAAAGAGTCGCAGGTTTGATTCCGGTCAAGAGTACATACCTGCGTTGCGGTTAGATCTCGGCCCTGGTCAGGGTGGTGCACGAGGCAACCAGTCGATGTGTCTCTCTCGTGTCGATGTTTCTCTCTCTCTCTGTCTCTCCCTCTCCCACTCTGTCTGAAGATAAATGGAAGAAAGTGTCCTCAGGTGAGGATTAAAAAAAAGAAATGAATTAATGTATGTTGCATACTTCAGACTGGGAATACATGAAAAGACTATTTCAACAGTTCAAAGCAAAGTACCAGAGATTTTCTGTATCAGTATGCCCAGGAATGACTGATTTAAATTTTATATTATATTATATATTATATTTATAACCCCTATACATATATTACCCCAAAGAATGAACCAACATATTGGTAAATATGTAGAACAGAGTCCCTGAAAATTCATATATATTATTTAGATATTATTAAATAATTTGTTTTGGGAGGGTGGGGTGTAGATTTTGGGCGATGAATCATAGAGAGCTAATCCTTTTATAATATCTTATATTTGGGTAGATGTTTTAGAACTGGAAGCCATATTATACTCTTTTTTTTTCTTTTTTTTTTTTTTATCCTCACCCGAGGACATTTTTCCATTTTTTGCACAGATAGAGTGGGAGGGAGAGAGAGGAAGAGAGAGAGAGGGAAACATCGATGTGAAAGGGACACATCGAGTGGCTGCCACCCGCACGACCAACCAGGGCCGGGGACAAACTGCAACCGAGGTACATGCCCTTAGCGGGAACCGAACCCGGGTCTCTCCGGACCGCAGGTGGACGCTCTAACCGCTGAGCCAAACTGGCCAGGGCCATATTATACTCTTAACAGAACATTCTTGTGGAACCAAGCACAAAGCTCAATTGTGGGAAGATTAGACATGAGAGGAGAAATAGAGAAGACCCCTCTGAACTAAGAGTACCCTATGCCATGTGCTTCATCTCACGTTCCAGACAAAAAAGTTTCTGGCCTTGTGAATAGAAACTTTGCATGTAATATAATATTAAGTTAAAAACTGTTGGCACAGTGGGATTTCATACTCTTTATTCAGATTCATCTAGAAATGTTCATGTTCAGTTGTTGGAAGAATTATAATATTTTAAGAGGAAGACTATTATATTACTCCTAAAGTTTTAGATTTCTTTCTTTAAATATAAATACAAATTAATATTCCTTATTTGAAAATATGTTGAATGTGAACTATCACCATTATATTAAATGCTCTTGAATATGACATTTTTTGCTTTTATTTCTAAAATGTTGGTTGCTTGAAATAATCATATTTTGGCTCAGCAAATGGTTAATATCCAATTTCATTATGACATAAATTCTAACATATTTTTGGCTTTAAAATAAAGCATTTTAGGTAACTTCTTTGCCTTGCAATATGTTAAAACTTGAAAGAATGTAAAGGGAACAGAATAAGAAGGAGGAAATACAGCAGGACCAAGAGTGTGTCAGGGAGTATTCAGTTTCATGAGGAGAGAAGATCTGAAACAGCAGTGGGGTATTAGAGTTAACCATAAAGCCATACAATCAAATGTTTTTGTTTCTCTACTAAGGGAACCTGTCCACTGAGGTTAAATGACATAACTTCAACTGTCCAGCCAATACATAGTTACAGAAGGTGCCAAGGGAGAAGTGCAATGTGTGAGTAGGATTGAAGAATGGGTTGTTGTGAGACATGATGACATTCAATTAATACTACTTACTCTGTGTCAAATTTGCTATGTCTTTTACATGATTATGACAAGCTTGTATGTTACGTATTATTAACCAATGTCCAAGGAAATAAAGTAGCTTTCCCAAGGACTCAAAAGCATTATATCACAGGTTCACACCCACATGTTGTGACCATAAATATGGCCTTTCATTGCACTCTGATTTGGTGGGTAAAGGCATCACAAATGTTGAGTTGGTCTGAAATAAAAAATGGGACTGATATGTTGGAGGAATAGTAGATAAAACACCATGCTTGGCAAAAACAGAGCTTCCATACTGAGAAGTAGTGTGATAACTGCATCTATTAGAAAAAAAAAAAGTATATTTAATTTACATAAAATCCAGGGTGAGTTTGTTTCATACAAGACAGTATTACAATATTAAAATAAAGCAGAAAGGGAGAGAGAATTAATAACACCTTAAATAAAATAGTCTAGCTGATGAAAAATATTCTATATATGTCTATGAATGATTGTAATATATTTTAATATCCAAAGCCGTCAGGGAAACAAAAGGATGCCTCACATTATAACAGTCATTATATCTATATGATGGATTATAGGTAATATTTTTTTTCTTTTTCATTCATTTTTTTATCATCAAGTTTTCTACAGATAGCCTGTATTTACTTTATAATTTAAAAAATTAATTCACCCTGTCCTGTTTGGCTCAGCGGTTAGAGCAGTGGCCTGCGGTCCAGAGAGACCCGGGTTTGGTTCCCGCTAAGGGCATGTACCTCGGTTGCAGTTTTTCCCCGGCCCTGGTTGGGTGGTGCAGGTGGCAACCACTTGATCTGTCCCTTTCACGTCGATGTTTCTCTCTCTCTCTCTCTCACTCACTCTCGCTCCCTCCCACTCTACCTGAACAAAAAATGGAAAAATGTCCTCGGGTGAGGATAAAAAAAAACAAAAACCTGCTTTCTTAAAGCTGCGAGAACTTCAGGCTGTGCCACAGTCTCTGCAAAACGTTCAAACTGTAGGCATGGGATCAATGTCTGTGGGTCCCTCACGATGTTGCTAATGCGCATGGTTTGGTTTTTGCTCATTCAGTTACCTTTGTAAAAAAGAAATGCTTAGATATTCTCTGAAAATTCCTTATGAACCTTCTTTACAGAGAATAGGCTTTCTTAAAACACTTGTGATAACATTCAGCATGTGGCCTTCACCCCAAGAAAAATAAAAAATGCAAAAATCAATTCTGGTTTGAAGGAGGGAGGGGACAAAAAAAAAAGGGGGGGAATGATAATGGCAAAGTATATTTTTCTTGTTTTAGAAGTTTGTAGTGAAATTTAAAAGTCTAATATTTCTCTATCAAATCAAATAAAATAAAATTTTGTATTTTTCACATTCAGTCCTCTAGATATATTTGCTATCGTCTGGAAAGCTTCATGAATTATTCTTTAAAGAGGAAATAATATTATATAAAATCTAAACCAAGTATTTCAATACCGCAACAACCAGAATGTAATAATCCTCCCCTTATATTTGGATGGCAGGAATATGTTTCCTTGAATAGGAGGTATTAATAAAAACAAAAACAAAAAACAGACAATGTATTCTTGAACAGCGTTGAAAGTGGGAGAAAAGCTATCCGCTTACTCTTTTAGCAGGTTCCACATAAGATAATAAATGTGGCAAGAACTACCAGAAACCCCCTTCCACACCAGAGGTGATGATTAACTTCCCAATTTGCGTGCTTCTCAAATAAACAGTGTGGCAACAGTGATGGGTCTGAACATTTTGGAGTATTTTATTGCCTTTTAAAATGAATAGTATACTTATCAGTATTAAAATGTATTTTATTGAATTTACAAAATGTTAAACTGCCTAAATGGTGAGCTGGTAAAAATATATATGTTTTATGTTGTTTTTCTGTGGGTTGAAGCAGTGTTTTTAATAAAATGTGACTTGGTCAGATGAAGTTGAATAAGTCAGTATAACACAGGAGAAGTATTTATGTGTTTGGATTTTTAAGTTAAATATGAGACTTTGAAAAACTATAGGCATAGTTTCAAATTCTCTTTTTCCAGATGATTACTCAGCCACTGCCCAATTACTGTGCCTTTCACAGCACATTGAATACTTTCTGAGAAGACTCCACTCTGTATAGTATATAAACTAAACGTTTGCTACTAATTTATTTTGAGTACAGGACTACACAATGGTATGTACCTACATTTCAGGTCCCCTGGCTAATTATATGGCCTCAAAAATAAACAAGAAAATAAAGGATAAAAGGAAAAGGAAAGAAATGCATTCATATTTTTAATGCTTAAGAAATGTTTCTTCAGTGATTTTTTGAGTGTTATTCATAAAGATACTTTTCAATTTTCACTTAATTTTACCTACTATCCTTGCTATAGGCAATGTTGTATGTTTCTCTAAATTCTCTTTTCTCTTTGTTTTTTGTTTGTTTGTTTTTTCAGTTACTGGCTGACAAACAAAGTTCCCATCAAAAGACCCAGTACAGGTCTCCTCATGTATACACTTGCCACAAGATTCTGTGATGAAATTCACCTGTATGGATTCTGGCCATTTCCTAAGGATTTGAATGGAAAAGCCGTCAAATATCATTACTATGATGACTTAAAATATAGGTACTTTTCTAATGCAAGTCCTCACAGAATGCCATTAGAATTCAAAACATTAAATGTGCTCCATAACAGAGGCGCTCTGAAACTGACAACAGGAAAGTGTGTGAAGCAATAAAGCACATTTGAAAACAGACAAACTGAATATGCACTTCTTTTCTGAAGATGCTTCCTAAGATCTGAAAATAGGATCCAAAACAAGACTGGGCTTCAGCATCCACAAATTACCTGAAAGGTGATAAAGGACGTTCATGAGAAATCCACTACCAGCTGAGGAAATACCTGCAAAGTGCTCTAAAAATTAGATTATTTTGTTTTCAAGGGTCCTAGTAAGTGCCACTTCCACGAAGAACACAGTTTGAATGTATAATCAGTAGTGTTTACAAGATCCGACGATGCACTTGTCACTCGTCACCGAAACAACGATGTTCATCGCAGTGGGGCCGCCACTGCAACCCAAGCACATGAGAAGAGGAACCCAGGAACAGCGCAGCCCTCGGGGAAATCAACCCTCCTTGTCAGCAGAGATGAAGATGGAAACAGTTTGAGCAGCAAAATTCATAAGATTAAACAACTCAAATAAATGCCTTCAGTCGGGACTCTGAGTCTGATCATGGATTTTATTGTTTCTGTTTTTGTTTTGTCTGGAATTCCTTTTGGTTTGGGTAATGGGGTACTTAGAAATCCTAAGGCAAATACGAATGAGAAAAAAAAAACCTTCAAGTAATCATGTTTAACGTTCTTAAATTTTTAAAGAGCAATCACACAATTACTTTGTAAAAAAGTTTTATTTTGCACAACTCTAAACCTCCAGATTTTTTCCCAGTGGTGTAGAAGGTACCAGCTACACTGTACCATTAAGTAATCTTGAGCCATTCTAAAGGAAATACATTTTACGTCACCTGAGACGATAATATTAGCCGAAATAATGTACTTTTGGTACCAAAGATTATACCGATGTTTCTACACAACAAACTGTTCTCCTTTTGTGAAAATAATATGTTAATGTGTTATTCTACTAATATGAAAGTTCCTCTAGACATTTAAAATTTTCCAAACTCCAACTTTATTTTTGTTTGAAGGAAGACTTCCACGGCTTTTACATTTCATAATAATTTTGTGGAAGCATTTTGCCCTTTAGAAAAAATGACTGATAGGGTTGAATGTGACTTCCAGCTCGTTGATATCTCTCTCGTTCAAGTGGAAAGATTAGCGTGCTCTTTGTATCACAGTGAAACTTTCTCAGTGCAGAAAGAACGTGACGAAAAGAGCGTTGGTTCCATAACAGAAACTTAGATAACTTCTTGTTTTTTAGGCAAGACAGTCTGAGGAAAGAAGAATAGGGCACAGAATATGTATGTTTTGTTTTCTAGAGAAGACAGTCATCTTAAGAGGTCTAACAGTAAAACTGTGTCAGTACTTTGCACTTTGAATGAATTAAATTGACCAACATTTATTCTGTGGGTAAATTTATTCATGCTACCATATTAATATGTTTTCAAAGAAGCACATAAAACTATTAACAAAGTGATTTAAAGTGTTTTGCATATAACAGAACTGACCCATAGGCCTGTTTACTGGTAACCTATCCTACACTGGTAGGTAATTCTGATGGTAAATTGTTTCTTTCGAAAGGAGAAGTGCTCTGTGCCCACTTCTACTCTTGCTCTTGGTCTGAAACAACTTAGATAACTTCTTGTTTTTTAGGCAAGGCAGTCTGAGGAAAGAATAGGGCACAGAATATGTATGTTTTGTTTGTTAGGGAAGACAGTCTAAAAAAAAACTAAATAAATAGCATGGATAAGGTATGTATGTGTTTTCATGAAAAAGATTATTCTCAGGAGTACAGTTCTCAATATATTAATGATATGTGCTATTATTTCTAAAAATATGGTTGAACTGTGTGATATAGGAGACTATATTTTCTGAGAATTCATGTGTCTCTAAGAAAACAAAACAATGAATAAAGGAGATACACAGCTAAAAATGGATAGAACATAATGAACTTTTATCATTAACCTATTATCTATTGAAAATTTTAAAAGAATTGGGCACATGTTTTGAATGTAAAGTTGAAAATCTGATTGACTTAATAAATCAAAGGTGTGCGGGTGATTTATAGAACCTTAATTTCAACTACTTGTGAATAAATTGTTTGTGTAGCCTTTAATCTGAATTTAATAGAAATTTTGAGGTCACAAGTAAATTCTTATAGGTAAAATCCAACTCAAAACTCATGAAAAGTATGTCTGAAAAAGCAGCAGCAAGGTACCTTGCCATTTTTACTGCATTTTCAGCAAATACATTTAAATCATTTTAAGGCCACAGCAAAAGCATCCCAGCCAGTCATTGCCCTGTGCATTGAAGTTTATATCATAGATGCATTGAGTAGTGCCTTTTTAGCTTCACATTGCTTTGTTACCCTATGCTTTGTGTTCTCTAAATACATTGCCCAGTTCTGAAAATGTTCGGCATATAAAAAAGGGCTTCAGTATCAACTGAGACTACTTTCGTTCATCTCAGGGAACTTTCAGTACTCCAGAATGAATTCAATTAAAGCATTTAGTATTCAACTAATACCAACTGGACATGATCATTTCATTCCCTGTTGTATATCTGTCCATCCATGCCTCCCCCTTCAAGATCTACCTGTGGCCTTCCTACAGGGTTGGGGCAAAGAGATCACCGAAGGCTAACAGGCTGAAAACAGAATTGAGATTTAACCAACAAGGGGGCAAAAGGGATCGGGATAAAATGTAATTATAAAAACATACTTGAAATATCTGGGTTTTTTTCTTTTGTACTATTATGTGATCATAGCTTTAGTTTTTTTATTTCGTTTTTACGATTGAACCCTGTACCTGGCAATGCTCAGGCAGCTGATTGTGAAAGATTCTTGTCCTTTAGAGAACATAGTCGTTACTGTGCTGTTGACATGAATAGGCTATGGAAACATTTTCATCACTATTACCCGGTCTGTTGTATAGTTAATAGTAAGTTTGCTGGAATTAAAAAAAAAGAAAATGAATCAGTAAAAGATTCTCTGGGCAAATCTAATTATTCCGCCCACAGGACTGACGAAATTACTGTGGAAGTTTTTCTATCTGAAAGGAGGTGCTGGGCATTCAAATGTCTTTATGTAATGTATATCATATGAAATATATATCAATTGCTAATGGGAATTTCTACATATATGCTTATGGAAGAATTTATTTCAATAATGCTATGCTTGCATTGGTGGGATAGTGGTGAGCATAGCTGCCTTCGACATGCTATGGGTAGTGTACATACCAACTAGTTATTAAGCTACTACATAGGAAAAGGATGAAGAAAGTAATTTATTTCTAATTGAGCCAGTCAGTCACAATGCACACAAATGTGGTATTTGGTTGATAAAAGAGTTGTTTTCACGTGGTTATTGTTGCAAGTAGCTATAATTGTGGAAGGAGTATAGGAAGAATTAAATAGAGATAGTTGTTACCTCTACAAACTTAAAAAAATTTCCCCATCAGACATTATCAATATACCAATGTTTTACAAATTAATGAGAAAAAGGTTATTGTATTTAATGAAAGAAAATCCAAATAAAGACCACCTAGAAATAGATATTTTATTATATATGTGCTATAGATATATCTATACAGTACAAATAGACATGTGTGATGCATATATACAATGCTATATATGTGTGTCTGTGTGTATACACACTGAGTCTGTAATATGCACACATCCGATCTGTGTTATGCTAACATCTTCAGGGGCAACACTGTGAAGCACCCTGGAGATAAGACCACTTCAGAATCAAGACGTTCTTTTGAGACTTCAGTGAACAACCTGCTTTAAGAGGGATCCACTTTATAACTGAATTCTATGTTGTTGATGCCTAGAGTTACCATAAGGGTCTAGTCTGTCCAAATCTTAAAAAAAAAAAAAAATTAAAAAAAAAAAAAAAAAGTCTTCAAGCTGGCAACGTACTTGAATTGCAGTTTTCAGATTGTGGCTTCAGGCCCTGTGTCTCCCCTTTAAGTAGTACCTTTTAATAGACACTGTTTCTTTGTGTAGGCAAAAGCACAAGTGGTTCAAATGTAGATAGCAGGAAAAACGTTTACAGAGATAGCATTGCTGCACAGAATAATTGCTACTGAATATTTCTTATATAATGTGTGGAATTGAAAGATGAGGTTTATTCTGTCCAATTCATTCTGTTCAACACTGTTTCTCTATTGTTTATGTAGAACAGTTGGGTGTCACTGTTTTATCATTTGTAAAATTGTAAAATAAATTAAATCCCCCCTTTTTTTCAATTTTTCTCTTATTTCTTGTATCCAAGCCATCGGTTTTACTTTGTACATCAATATAAGGTCATGGTTTTTGACAAGCTTTAGCTAATGCTTTTGTCTTCCCTGCCTCTCAGCCCCAGCCATTGGCAATTTGGCATTTATTTTAAAGTATATGCACAGACTATGAACAAAATCAAAAGCCCATGAACATCAGTAAACCTTTAACAATTTTTTGTATGGTGTGCCGTGTTTGTAGTTGAAGGAGTGGATGTTACAAAAGTTACAGTTGTTCATATTTAATTCATAGTCCTACTAACTACTGTCAGCTGGTCACTACAGCTTCATGACTAGAGAGGCTTCTTACACACTGCATATTCTTAAGGTGTCCCTATGATCTATGATTTCAAATGCTATTATATCCACTGCCCTGGCCGGTTTTGCTCAGCAGCAGAGCATTGATCCGTGGACCAAGGAGTCACGCGTTCAATTCCAATCGAGGGCATGTACCTCGGTTGTGGTTCGGTTCCTGGCCCTGGTCTGGGTCCTGCAATAGGCAACCGGTCAATGTGTCTATCTCACATCGATGTTTTTTTTTCTCTCTCTCTCGTTCCCCACTCCCACTGTGTCTGAAAATAAATGGAAAAATATCCTTGGGTAAGGATTAAAAAAAATGCTATTACATCCACTTGCTGCTGCTTGCAGTTGACCTTACAGATGATTCTGGAAAACTACATGTTTACATCTTCTTCCATGGCTGTCTATAACTGACTAGTGTATGTGTGCAGGCTCCACACTATTTTCTCCAGAAATTATGACATAAGGTCACTTTTAGCATTCTGCAATTTTGAAACATTTGTAAGAGACCAATAGTGAACCATGGTTAATAAATATGGATCTTATTTATATTTGCATAATTACCTTTAATTTCAAAGATCCATATACTATGGATCATTACTATCTATTTCGGGGATATAATCAGATGTTATGATAAACCTATGGGATGGATTTTGCAAATATCCATGTAATACAGATTAGATTAAATGAGAGGTTGTGTGACTTTTGAAGGTCACATGGTTCAGAAGAGAGAGAATCAGGATTTGAACCTGAGTGGTTAGTCTGACTTTATTGTCTACTGTCTTAGTCATCACATTTTGATGTTGCTTTTGTTAAACTGGCAAGAGGTTCCCTGGGAAATTTAATTTTGCAAATAAATTATTTTGTAATGAGCACAGCTCAAAAGTGTAGGTGAGTATACAGGAAGGATATATAATCTTGGCTTGAGACAGTGCCTGAATAGAAGAATCCTCTCCGATGACGAGCTACAGGCCTCTGGCTCAGAGGCTTCCCCTGAGCGGTGCTGCATGAACACTGCCGGTTCTTGCTCCAGATTCATAGATACTTTTTCATACAAGGTGGATTACACTTATGTTAGGCTCTGACTCTGTGTATCACAAAATGTGTTACATAACAGCTATATTAAAGTCTAATTTTGAGGTTCCTATGCAAACATTTTGATAAAATTGGGTGTTTCATTAATCTCCACTAGCAGCTATTTACATAAATATGTTAAGGTTGAACTTCTATGGATAGCTAAGTTTATCCATTTTATATTAATTTTTTAAAAAGTAGTTTCCCTCTATTCCTGAAAATGGAAGTAACACCTCTAAATTAAAGGGACAGATAATGACTCCCCCTATATACTATCTTCATTGTGCACAAGCCCATGAAAGTTAAAAAAGAAAATCTCAGATATAAGAATAAA